ACAAGTACCATGAAGGACTTGAGACCAGTCCACAGGAGCTGACAGAGGCTGACAGGAAAGTTCTTCTGAAACTGGGGAGGTTGGCCTTTGAAAATCTGCTTGAAGGAAACATCATGTTCTACCAAGAAGACCTGAAACAGTGTGGTCTTGATGTCACAGAGGCCTCGGTGTACTCAGGAGTTTGTACAGAGATCTTCAAAAGAGAGTGTGTGATCTTCCAGAAACCAGTCTACTGCTTTGTTCATCTGAGTGTTCAGGAGTTTCTGGCTGCAGTCTACATGTTCCACTGTTTCACCACCAGGAACAAAAAGGTGATGAAGAGGTTTCTGGGAGAGAAGTACAGATACTCATCTCTGGATGACTTCCTGAACAGAGTCATTGAGAAATTCCTCCAAAGTAAAAATGGTCACCTGGACCTGTTTGTTCGCTTCCTTCATGGCCTCTCTGTGGAGTCCAACCAGAGACTCTTARGATGTCTGCTGGGTCAGACAGAGATCAGTCCAGGAACCATCCAGAGAGTCATCAACAACCTGAAGAAAATGAAGAGTGATAAAGTTTCTCCAGACAGAAGCATCAACATCTTCVAGTGTCTGATGGAGATGAAGGACCTCTCAGTTTATCAGGAGTTCCAAGAGTTCCTGAAGTCAGAGAACAGATCAGAGAAGAAACTCTCAGGGATCCAGTGTTSAGCTCTGGCCTACATGCTGCAGATGTCAGGGGAGGTTCTAGATGAGTTGGACCTGAGGATGTACAGAACATCAAAGGAGGCTCGACTGAGACTGATTCCAGCTGTGAGGAACTGCAGAAAGTTTCTGTGAGTCCAGATGTTTCATTCCATCATCAGTCAGTGGAGATCAGCTGTTTGAATTATTAGTAGTTATTAGAACCATGAGGTGTTCTGTTTGGATCAAGTTAGAGACACTTTTTAATCTTCATCAGATGAAACGTTTTCACAGAAATGACTTGAAGAAGTTCCCAGGTCAAAGGCCAACTTAGAAATGTTGTCTTCTTCCCATGTTGTTCATGTGGACAGATGTGGATCTGGTCTACAAACATCTGCTCAGTTTAATCAGAAACATCAAACTGTTTAAATTATGTGAATGAAAAGATTCAGATTGATCTAAAAGTTGGAGTGAAACAGTCAACACTCTGCTGTGGTCTTTCTGGATCAAAGTTTACTTGAACTTGATTTATTTAGTTCCGTTTGAAGAAGACAACATAAATCCACCCCTGCTCTCTGAAGTCTGTCCACACAGAGCTCAGAGTCTGACAGAACCACATGAAGTCCTCCTGGGTCTCAGCTCCCTGAACAGAACTTCTTAATCCCAGTCCTGGTGGATTTCTGACCATTACTGCCCCCTACTGTTTAATCTGAATCTATTCTCACAVTAGTTCCACTGATTTCTGTTTTCATTTTCTCTTCCTAACATGTTCAGACTGTCTACAGTTAGGTTGGTTGAAGTCCTTGTGAGGATCCAGAGTCTGTCCTGCAGCATAATGCAGTCAGAACTCAGGGAGAAAAAACAGCAAGTTATGCTAACAGGCTAACTGAGCGAGCAGTTGCTAAAACCTGACAGAACAGATTTTTGTTAGCTTCAACATCTCAAAGCTCATTAACAAATGTTACCTGGTGAATTTTGGCCTCAGATGGTAGAGAAAATGGAGTCAAAGAGTCAAATATTTGTCTAATTTCRAAGTGAAGAAGAGGAAAAATGTGTGTTGGGCAGTGATCGAAGGTGAAGACCTTGGCAGTCTGATCCTTGGCTACAGAAACTGGCTCTAGGGAAGTGGAATGTCACCTCTCTGGTGGGGAASGAGCCTGAGCTGGTGTATGAGGTTGAGTTTCCGACTAGATATTTTTGAACTCACCTCAACGCACCGCTCTGTCTCTGGAACTAGTCTCCTCCGGACGGGTTGGACACTCTTCCACTCTGGAGTTGCCCATGCTGAGAGGCGCCGAGCAGGAGTGGACATACTTATCGACATACGYCCCCCATCTTGGTGCCTGTACATTGAGGTTCACCCTGGTGAACGAGAGGGTAGCCTCCCTCCGCCTATGGGAAGAGGGACGGGTCCTGACTGTTTTTTGTGCCTATGCRCCTAACAACAGTTCTGATTACMCACCCTTTCTGGAGTCCTTGGAGGGGGTGCTGGAGAGCGCTCCTTATGGGGACTATCTCATTCTGCTGGGGGACTTTAATGCTCATGTGGGTAATGACAATGAGACCCGATGAGGCTTGGTTGGGAGGAACCAAGCGTTGTTTTGTTATTGGACTTCTGTGCTTGTAATGGATTGTCTTTAACGAACACCATGTTCAAACATAAGGGTGTCCATATGCGCTCTTGGCACCAGGACACCCTAGGCCGCAGTTCTATGATCGACTATGTTGTTGTTTCATCTGCTCTGCGGCTGCATGTTTTGGACACTCGGGTGAAGAGAGGAGCGGAGCTGTCAACTGACCACTACCTGGTGGTGAGTTGGCTCCGTTGGTGGGGGAGGATGCTGGTCAGACCTGGCAGACACAAACCTATAGTGAGGGTCTGTAGGGAACGTCTGTCAGTCTCCCCCATCAGACGGAGCTTCAACTCACCCCTCTAGGAAAACTTTGAACATGTTCTGGGGGAGGTGGGGGACATTGAGTCCCAGTGGGCCATGTTCCACGCCTCCATTGTTGAGGCGGCTTACCTGAGCTGTGGCCGTAAGGTTGTCCGTGCCTGTCGTGGCAGCAACCCCCAAATCCACTGGTGGACACCAGTGAGCAGGGATGCTGTCAGGCTGAAGAAGGAGTCATGTCGGGTCTTTTTGGCCTGTGAGACCCTGGAAGCAGCCGATAGGTATCGGGAGTCCAAGCGGATTGTGGCTCAGGTGGTCACTGAGGCAAAAATTGTGGAGTGGGAGGAGTTCAGAGAGGCCATGGAAAAAGACTTCCGTATGGCTTCGGGGCGATTCTGGTCCACCATCCAGCATCTTGGGGGGAAGCGGTTCGCCACCAACACTATTTATGGAGGGGATGGTGCACAGCTGGCCTCAACTCGGGACATTCTGGTTTGGTGGGCGGAATACTTCGAAGTCCTCCTCAATCCTACCAACACATCTTCCCACGAGGAAGCAGAGCATGAGGACCCTGGGTCGGACTCTCCAATCTTTAGTGCTGAGGTCACGGAGGTGGTTAAAAAGCTCCTCGGTGGCAGGGCGCCGGGGGTGGATGAGATTTGCCCAGAGTTCCTTAATGCTCTGGATGTTGTGGGGTTGCATTGGTTGACACAACTCTACAATATCGCGTTGTGGACATTGGGGGCAGTTTCCCTGGATTGGCAGACCAGAGTGGTGGTCCCCCTTTTTAAAAAGGGGGAC